AGTAAGGGTTTTCAGGGCTCTTCGATTGATTTAGCGCTAGGTATTCTTGTGTGTGCAAATTCCAAATTGTATTATGCTTGATAGCTAGAGCCTAACTTATCGCCTAGCTTTAATTTTAAGCGTGAAAATGACATCCCTTTTGGACCTTTTGATACTACCTGTGACTGTTATATTGTGTTGATAGATAGGTGTTCAGTTTAAACGTGCAGCGCCGAGCTCCTAGTCAGTCGCCTAGTCATAGCATAAGATATTTTCGCTCTTGGTTTTGAGTAGCAGTCCTCCTAATTCAAACTGCATAAACAACTGACAAATATGTTTTTAGAAGAGTACTGAAAACCTCGGTGGGTTGACTTAAAAGCAGCCGTCCCTTCATTAAAAATCGTAAGGATTGTTCGACTTTTAATTTTTAACACACAATTTCGCGATTTTATCAATTAGAATACCTTGACATGAAATGGCGATTTTTTTTCGAAGTACCACTTGCACACCACGTGCATTCTGTTAATTTTCTTTGTTTAACTGTAGCTTAAAAAATTTAATTGCACACATTTCAAGAAGCACTCCTCCTTCTTATAATACCGCGCCATGTAACAAGTTGCTTTTTCTGCTCTCAATTTGGTCATTTTGTTTTGTGACACTGTAATCGCTAAAATGATATTTATATAGAAAAATTTCTAATATTGTGGTTAAAGGAGACGAACACGGCGTCACAACGCTGATCATGCCCCGATGGTCCCGACAAAAAATAAAACAAACAAACAAAAAAATAATTGCAAAGGAACAGGTCAATGGTTCTTCTGATGGCTCGACGCAGACTTTTATACTACTCGGTCTTTCAGCAACCTGAGTATGACTTTTGAGGGGAAAACTCCAGCAAGTTTATTTTTTTCGAAATGCTTCGAATAAAACAATCGATTTCATCAGGCCCAAATACGAATTTGTGGCTTAAGTGAACTTTAAAGAAAAGAAGCCTTTGGTGAGTGAGTGAGTGACTGACCGAGTGACTTATTTCCGTTTTAAAACTTCCACCATTCATGATGCACTTTACAGTTTTAAACAAAAACGAAAGTGAAAAGCATGGGAACGAAAACAGTTGAATTAATAATTACATTTCACCGCAATCCTCACAAGCCAGTACTCTATGATCTAGAAAGTTACACAAAACTTGGCTTCGACGATGACAGTTTTATTTTCGTGTTAAGTTACAGGATGCCGCCCGTGTTGAGCGCCTTTTCGGGGAACCAGCCCATTGAGCGAGGTACTCTTTGTCGTGTAACAGACAAAACAAGTTCAGTTGCGAGATGTATTTAATATCTCACTTTCAATTCCTGACCTTTTCCTTCTTCTCTGGATTGCACTTCTCAGAAAGTTCTTCTCTTTTATTCACATACAGTATGGCTCGTTTTCAAAATCCTCTTCTCACAATTGCAGATTATATGTATTTTCGAACACTTAATCAGATGCACATACACTGAATATCTTTCCATAACAACTTAAGACTCAAAAGATTGCTAGCATATATTCATCACGCTATTTTTGTCACTAGCCATATTTTTCACTTATGTTAAACTTATCCTAAAATCATTCAATACAGCTTTTAATGGCAAGTATATACTAGGAACTATTTTCCGGAGAGAAACCTAAGTTTGATCAAATAAACAGATCACAACTCAATTCTCAACTGTTCTATGATACTGTAAACAAGAGGCAGCACCCAAATTGAATTGAGATAAATATCCAGAATTAAAAATGGGTTGATATACCTATAGGACACATCAGAATTTTATTTCTTAGAGTTCCCCAAGTAATACATTTACTGGAAGTTGGAAAACCAACTAAAACATATTCGTAAGTTTAGGTTTCAGAACCGAGTCCTGTTGTCCCAAAATGGACGGGGCAAATTCGCCAAATCATTTATCAGTAATTACAGATCACGTAGAGAATCATGCAACTTCATAAACACTTTTTCAATCTTGAACCATTCTTGTCGCATTTGTGCTAATAAAATGGTCAGCCCTTGGGGTGTCAACCAGTTATTGTTGACAAGTGTATTCATGTGAGCATTGTTCCTAGGAAATTATTTTCTCTTCCTTGATTTTCATTTTCGTTAACTTAAGCGTTAAACAGCTTAATGTTTCAGTTAAGAGAAAAGATGAAAATATTAGCACCGGTGACTATGTAACAGCAGCCAGCTCCCCAAAATGATCTCTGAACGCCATAAAAATACTGTCATCAATAAGTTAATTATGATTCAAACAAATAGTGTAAAAGTCGCCTTACCTTTTTTTATTACCTTGCCCTTTTTAGACTTGTAAAGCGATTTTAGCGGGATTTTTAATTACTTTATCGTTGATCAATTTTGACTTCTTATCTGTATTTTCATCACATGAAATAAGACATTAACTGATCGGTATTATCATTACCATTATCTTAGGAAAGAGGCAGAAGAGTAACAATATGGCATGAGAAACACGGTTTTTTTCGCAACTAAATTGCTCTTTACCTAGCTGGTGATCATTAGTAAGTTTATCGAGTTGTCTAGAGGAAACCTGAATGTGACTTCTTTCTTTCTTACATGTCTTCTCACTGTCCAAACAGTGAACACTAAAAGTATTTCTCGAATGTTGCATGTCCTTGGCCCTTGATTAAAAACAGCTATTTCAAAATATCGCCTGGAGGGGTTCATGCAGGTCCAGTTAAACTATTTATCAGCAAAATTACTCGAGTCCGATCATTTTTTTTTCTTTAGGTGAACAGCGACGATGACGACTTGACAGCTCTCGCATCAGTTTTCAGTCAAGTGGTGTTGACCGACAGGTGACTTTTAAAATTATTATCTACAAATGAACAAAAATATATCGAAGAAGCTAATGTGTTAGTCAAAAGAAGAAAGAGTACTTAACAATCTACATGAATAATGTGGCTGCACACAGAATGTTTTTACGATTTTTTGTCATTTTTCATTTTCTTTTACCTATTACGGCGTGACAAAACATGGCTAAATTGAAAGCAGAAAAAAGCAACTTTTTACATGGCTCGGTATTTTAAAAATACAACCTAACGAAAGAGCAATGCTTCTTCTTGAAATACGAGCATTTCAATTTTTTAAGCTAAAATTAAACCAAGAAATTTGACAACGGGAAATGCAAATGGTACTGCGCACGTCATTTCATGTCAGGGTATTACTTTCGATAAAACCGCAAAATTGAGAAATCAAAAGCGAACAACCCTTACGATTTTTACTGACGGGAAGGCTGCTCTCAGTCAACCCACCGAGGTTTTCATTATTCCTCTAAAAATCTATTTCGCAGTTGTTTATAAACTTTGAACAAGGAAGATTGCGACTCAAAACCAAGAGCGAAAAAATGTTATGCCATCACTTTTCTTGACTTGAATTTCTTGAATGACAGAGGAGCTTGGCACTGTACGCTTTAAGCTAATTGTCGCTGAACAGCTATCTATCGACACAATGTAATAGTCACAAGTAGTATCCAAAAGGTCCAAAAGGGCAATCATTTTCACACCTAACATTAGAACTAGCTGAGAAATTAGCCTCTATCACAAGCAAAAAAACCTAACTCTAATTTAATTGAATAGCTCTGAAAACCGTACTGACGACACTACTTCAAATACGAGTTTATAGACAAAACAATTCAAGTTTAGTTAATCAATCCTGATTATCAGCAATCGTTGCCACTAAAGCCTCCTGTCGTCGCCTTCAATTGAAGGAGAAGGAAAAGATTTAATTGCATCCTTCGCTTTTTTGTATAGAGCTTTCTTGATTTTACGTGGTTATGTGGCTGCAATTGTCATGTCAGGACAAATGATACTTTCGAACGGATAATGTCTGGCAAAGAAAGGTTAACTCCGCTTTATTGTCAGGCTTTCTTCCGTGCCCAACGCCTCGACGGCTAGTGGCTGATCGGGTCAGATCGACAGACCGGCGAACTAATGAGTACGTGATGCCGACTAAAAGATCACTTTCCACTTTCTAAACTACAGTCTTCAACAGTCAAATGATAAAAGAAGCGATAAAAATTCTAAAATATGGTGTGATACAAAAGAATACAATAGTACGTAGAAATTAGCTTTAAAATGTTTGTTAAAACGGAATTCAGTATTGTCTCGCAAGTGAACAAGAGTTATTGTCCGCATCGGGGTCATCATGTTATACCACGATTCATAACATAACCAGTCAATGAAATGTTCATGAGACTATGCATGCCTTGTTACCCTGGAGCCTTCTCCGCTGTTTTAACGTTCGTTCTATGTTCTTTAAGTCTTGTTAGCACTACGACGAAAACTAGCGTTTCGTGTGTGCAGAAAAATTGAAAATGTTGTAACCACCAATCTTTGCATTTTTGTAACCCTGTTAGCACTTACAAGAATGCTAAATGTTTCCTGCACGTGCCAAACAAGTAACATGTAGCTAGATACCAAGATCAATTTACCAGCGTTGGTCAAAGTTGTTTTTCCAAAAATTTGTAGACTATTGCTCTTCTTTATGAGGAAATGATTTGTCTTTTAAAACTGTTTTCCTTTTCGCTGCATTTTTCGTTGCGATATTGTTTCGCTGTGGCTAAATGACCGGCAGCCGGTCAAGGTTTTCAAATCACTAAATGACCGGCAGTCTGATATTTTTCTCAAATTTTAAGGAATCGAAGGAACCCGTGGTTTGTGACAAGAATTTTTTGGGGGTCGACTGCCGGTCACGGTTTTCAAATCACTAAATGACCTAGTTTAGGGAATCGTGCGAGCCGATCATATCCAAACAATTATATTTCGAATAAGAACTGCAAAGCGATCTTGCAGATTCTTGTTCTTAATCGACAGATGATTGGGTGAATTGGATGGGTTCCTTCGATTCCTTAAAATTTGAGGAAAATATCAGACTGCCGGTCATTTAGTGATTTGAAAACCTTGACCGGCTGCCGGTCATTTAGCCACAGCGATATTGTTTCCTTCACTTCCAGCAGTCGCTAGAACTTCTGTAGCCTGTGTCACAGCAACCTGTGACACACGCTAGAACGTCTGTGAGATACGGACATTGAAGAACGGGTATTGTTTGCTGCTGTTTGCTTTATTTTTGGCTGCCGACAGGCCAAAACGAAATTAGGATGTGTTCTCTCGTTCCTCGAGGACGCAATAAGTTATTAAGAGGAGTTAATAAAATTACTCGTTTACTGGCCGATTTTGGGGTAGGACACTTGAATGTGGCCTACATGAACAATTTTGCGAGATCAAGTAATGTCACTTTCAAATGACGCAGCCAGTGGAACAAAATTGAAACGATTTCAAAGATCCTGAAGATGGTTTTGGAGGAGGAAAACAATTCAGAAGGTATCTTAAGCAATTATGAGACTAGCTTCCTAAATTATATAGGAATTCGAAGCGAGAATTGTAGGTAAACGAACGTTCGTGTCTCTTCGCGTGGGTTCGTGATACAAAGACATGTTGTTTGAATGGGACTAAATACTCTTCAAATGGCGAATTTACGTTTAGAATATCCCGCTTTGTTATTGATTATGAGTAAAAACGTGAAATTCTCGTGAAATTCAAACAGCAGGGTGGTTTAACAACATTTTTGAGTTTATCTCAATTTTTCTTTTCTAATTAAATTTAGTAGTCATAAGTTATTTAAATTTATGCACTACTCTACAATAAAGAAACAATCTGAACAATCGCTTCATTACGAATCACAGCACGGGTCAGTGATTAAAACTGCTACAAGCTGCAATATATCACACTTTTCTTTAAAAATACATATCCTTTTATTAAGCTAATACCTTTTAAAAGCATTAACAGGACAGAAAATGCGAAGAAGCATCATAAAAGAATAACAGAAACTTGATATTCTATTATTAACTTGGAATTTACTTTTGTAGGAAATTCAACCCAGTAAAGATTCGTGTCATTTTTCTTGTGATAATGTAGGTAATAGTAAACAAATAATAAACAGAAATCAAGTTTCGCCAGTAAGATTGTTATTATCCTTCCCACACGCCGTTTGCCCGGGATCTTATTGAACCAGTTCAACATGATGATCAGTTCCGTTCTGAGAATGAATTTGCTGTTGACAAACGAAATGCCTCCTCCTTCATAATATTAATCGAAATGACCAGAGTAAATAATAAAGCCGTTTGCAAAATTAGGAATTAGTGTGTTGTTGAGTATTGTCGTTTCTGCGGCTCAAAATGGCAAATTTGAGCAATGAATGAGTTGCCAGTAATCGGATACCCGTGTTTGCGGAAAGAACTCTGGGATCGTCTGGGGGCAAACATTGCAAGTCGCTAGAAGGAAATGTATGGCGAAAAGTTGTTTCAACGCCCAAAAACATGGTTTTGGGGAGAGATCAACGCTTTTTCGCCGTTGTTTTATCGCAAATGGATTTTGGTAACGTTGATACATGGAAAATGTAAGTTTTTGTTTGAATAAC